CATGCTATTTGACGGGCTATGCTAACCCTTGGACCTACTGGCAAAGTGATCCCAGTCAGGCTATTCTAAGTGTTTTTAAAAAGCTCCAGAGCTCCCAGGAGAGCCTCAGCCCAGGGCATGGGGGGGGGGGGGCGGGGGCTTGCTCTCTGCAGCTGGGAGGAAACGCACATACGGGACCCCCGACGGAAGCTCCAAGTAGGAGGGGGAAAAAAAAGAAAGAAAATCTACCGTTTCAGGCACGCCTTTTCTTTAAAGCCAGCCCTGCCTCAGCTCTATGCATACGCCAAATCCACAACTGAGCAAGAGAGAGGGGGGAAAAGGGAGAGTGGGAACCGGCAAGCGCCGAGTGAGGAGGGGGTGGGGAGGACAGGAAAGGAGGAGAGCAGAGGAACGGGGGCAAGCAGAGGGAGGGAGAATTAGAGTGGGAGCAGTAAAGAAAAATAGCGAAGGAGAGGTGGTGGGTTGAGAGGGTAAGAGAGGGAGAGAGCACTCAGACAGCAACACTGATACAAGATCACTGGCAACTCTATTTTAAGGGCAATTCCCAGAACTGTGATACTGCATTACATAACTGCAGAGAGCCCATATTGTTTTTAGACACCATGCCAAAAATGATAAAAGAGATGGTTAGAAAGGGCCCACATCTGAACAAGAGGAGACTTATAGCCAAAGAAAGATGCCACTTTTGAGTTTCGGGCCCCCTTCACACCTTCACACCTGCACAAAGCTCCAGAGGCCACAGGCTTCACCACATTAGAAAACAAGGTGAGAAACATCTGATCAAATATTGTGACATACGCATTTCAGCATCTGCAGTCACACATTTTGTTTGATATGTAACATCTGAGTCAAGGTAACTAGCGTTTCCATTGTTCTACAGTAGGAAGAAAATCACTTTTAAGCAATGTTAATGCAACATACTGATAATAGCCCGAGGAAATGATGTCCTTAAACACCAAGGCTCGTTCAAATAAGGCTTTGTTCAGGTCCAGAAACGGCTCAGACTTCAAATTATCTGCCAATCTGCCCGCATAGGGATCTCAATTAGTCAATGAATCAGTCTATGTCAAAAAGACAATTCTAACCAATTTCCGAATGCCCAAGCTGACTTCTTCAAATATCTTGCAATCAACAGTCACAACACAAATATATTCATTTAATATAATAAAGCAAATCAATGTCAGATTTAAGTAGCTGGAAAAATAGTTTGCAACCAATCATTAATGCTAAAAAATATCAAAATTAGGCCTAAAAAAAAGGTGTTTTGAGACCCTGATAAGTATACATCACATTGTAACCATGACCTACTCTCAGCATGGCCACACATTTTGCATTTAGTTTTCCATGGTCAACCACATCATCTGGTAATTTAGTTTATCACCAGCCAAAAAATCAAAGCACCAACTTCAGTACCAGCCATACTGCAGTAGGGAACCAGGTCAACTATCATCAGTGGTAATAGATGAGAAATGAGCCCTGCAGAGGGGCCTGAAATAGCAATTCTTAAAGCTGAAAATGATTGTATCTCCATAAAAGGAAAAGGAAAACGTTAATTAGATTTTCACAGATGTGTTCAGGATCCAATGACTACTCACCCACAGAGGACACAGGTGAGGGAGGCAAAGGGGTTAGTATCTTCAGAAATGTCCATCATTAACCTAGAATATAGTCAAATAACTACTAAATAGATAATATGAACTTAATAAACATGAAGTAAAACGACATCCTGAGATAAATACCTGCCTTAAAAAATGACTTCATGTCTCTTAGAATTTCACAACCTCTAGCTAGGTCTTTTGGTGACAGGTATGCAAGTTACATGCCCTGTCGTCATTTCTAACCCATACTAACGTCCATTTGAACGGGGTTTTCCAGCTATAACATGACTATGACATGTATGCGTGCTAGTTTGACAGATCCACCATCTTTCAAACATGCCGGGTGACAGCAAAGCTGCGCTGTCTGACCAACTAGCCAGCCTGCTAAGTAGCAGAGGAGCTAACTACCTTACGTTACTGACACTTCAGCCTACAGTTCTCCTATTCAATGCAGCTATTACACATTACTAGTCATTGTTCCGGGTGAAAATAAGAAACACAAGGAAGGATACATGTTAAGTCCAGGTCGAAGCCATCCTCTTGATATCTCCTTTTGTTCCGGCTGACCATTTCTTTTATAATCGCAGCCATTGTAGCAGGTGACAGGAGTCTATATGGGGTAAATGATGAAAACAGGTATTTCTAGTATTATCTGTCTGGCCGTGTATGTCGCAGTCAGAGGGTCCGCTCTGTGAATTTTGCAGGGTCCTCGCAGAGAAGTGCTAGCCAGCAGAGCTAGCCGTGGCTGTCGGTAGGATTAGAAAGGCTTCCTCTGGATCATAAAGACGGGCCTTGCTCTGCTCCTCCGTGCAGGCCCGACTTCGCCAATCCTGCAATTCGTCTTGCAAACAGTCCCGAATAAAATACATGCAGTTGTCCTTTAGATGCCAGACACCGTCCAATCCGATGGTTCAATCGCAGCCGCCGAGATTGACAGTGAGAGGACCGAGTATTCACCGGTTCCCAAAAACCCGTATCCAAGTCACTCAAACGGAGCTAGCTCGCTAGCTAACGAGCTAGCCAGCACTAGCAACAATAGCTAATGCCACCTCCTTTTTCGATCCAAAAGCCTCCTAACGATTCAACATTGTCATCGACTGATTGCCAAGAACACATCTGAAAAAAGTGACAGGCTCCACCTTAAATGTATAAAGACTATACAACGATCAGAAATCTGCACACATTGGTTTGACAGTTCCGTCCCGGGGAATCATCTTCTTTTCTCGTTCCTCTCTCCAGCTGAACTCTCAGGCTCCCATCATGGCCTCCACCGAAGGAAAAAAAGAAGGTAGAGCAGGCTGGGATTTTAGAACAAATATCCCGCCGCCTTCGCTTTATAGTCCCACGCTTTCATTAAAATCGGCAATGCGGCGTTAATCCATTTTGTCTCAACAATTAATACTACATTGTAATGAATAAACATTACATTTGTAATTTTTTTAAATCCATAAACAGCGGAAAACCGAGTTATTCTTTTGCCACTCGCGGAAGGATAAAGTGAGTCCGCATGCGACGCTCCCTTCTGTCAAAGTGATCACGTGTGGCTGTAATTAGGGAAGTTTCCAACATAATGTCACTTTTCGCGGTTTAAACTGTCATATCATGTTGTATGACACATTTTTTTGTAACCCCCTTAATGTTTTCAAAATGCATTATGTTTAAACTGTAAATCCATATCCTCTGTAGTACCTGTATTGCCTTCTGTATTCGCTGTCCTCAAATACATCCTAAAGTAGTAAACCAACGTTGATAATTGCAGAACCAATAGACTGTAATGTTATTTTTCTAACATGGTTGTCATTTTTTTTAAATGTGCTATATAAATAAAGCAAGATTGACATTGACGCACACTATCGGTGAATAAAACCCATTGCATCATACATAACTAAATTAAAGCCACAGCTTTTAACAATAACATGTTCATGATTGTATAATCATAGGATAATAATAATAATAATAAATATATATAATAATTATATTAACAATAATAACAATACAACAAAATATAATAATACAAATATATAATAATGATAATGATAATAATAATATGATATATATAATATTATAATAATAATAATAATAATAATAATATAATATGTACTCAAGACTTTACAAGCAGACAAAGAAATCATCCAAAAATCTTCTGAAGTAAGCTGAGGAAGGCTAAGCAGATCTGAAACAATGTGTCAACTAATCAATCCACATACTGTTAAACATCATTCATTTTGATTATCAACTAATCCATTATTTTTAATAATAGTGCAGAAGGTTAACCGGTTTCCAATGAGGGAACTTCTCATTCCAGATTACATTTGTTTGATTTTAGTTGTGAATACACACACTTGGACTAGACTTGGAATGTATTCATTTGAAATTCAATTAACCGATTAAACAATTGCAAAAAAATAAGCATTAATTGCATTTCCACCCTATCAGAACAATTGTTTTGCCTTTCAGAATCAGCCCTGGAGGTCCATTATTGCTGAAGCCAAACAGCATCAGCCACAGAATGAGAAGGGATACACATTCAAAGCATCCTCTAATAAACTGTGTGCAAAAAATAAGACTACATCTAGAACCATGAGGCCATACTCAACCAATGTCTATGCAACCTGAACACCTGAGTGGAACGTTTTTTTTAAAAACATGGTCAGCCTACATACAGATATTTTAGGACTGTGGTATACAAGAGACAGTAACAGTAGCCGTCCTTTCTTTATTTAAGTACAGTAGTTTGAGATTTTATAAAGCACTGAGGGTGCAGTTCAGCAGATTGAAATGGGGTTACCTGGAACAGCAGGTTAAATGATCTGATCTTATGTGAGGATCTTATATTGGCAAAATGAATCAGTTCACTCAATTACATTTAATTTGAAAAAGTATAGGATATTCTTGATCTGTTATAAATGATCTGGCTTTAAAAAAATAAACAAAAAACTCTGTGTTTTACAATATAAACAAATGTGCACATAATGGATTTATTAAGAACATATCCACAGTCAACAGTGACTTCTACTTGTAGTTCCCCCAGTCTTTCAGCAGAAACTAAAGGTAGACACGGAGGACCACCTGTGGGTTGGGTGTCAGTGAGGGGAGTTATCTTGAAAAGTGCAGTTATAAAACTCTCCCCGTAATAGAAACCCACGGTGACTGTGCTTTTACATTTACAGTAGTACCTCATTCTGTACTTTTTTATATTGTCCTGTACCACTTCTTGCCACCAGAGGGCAGCACTGCACTTTTGGCTTTGCAGCCCCAGAATGCAACACTTCCCACTCGACTTCAACCTTTAATCTATGATTGATAAGTAAGAACCTTGTACATAAAACAGTTAACTAGGGCGTGTTGCATAACCTCGCTTATTAGAAATAATCTTGCACAATATTCCAGTGTCAGGAAGTCACCAATGATTCATAATGACTAACAGATTTCTTTATTACTGCATTTGTCTTCCTAAAAGTATTTATTACATGAATTCACATGCCCACTTTATAAAATCACTCAAATCTCAGAGACATTTCAGACACTTCAGGCAAACATCAGCAACAGTTTCTGTTTTATAATGTTGACATTTGAGAAAGGCAGTTTCACATTATACAAACATCTCTGATGTATTTCACAATGGTATGAAACATTAACATGTTGAATTAATCAACATCCATACATGTAACACAAATAGGCACTGTAGGTAGTAATATACTGCAACTATCTTTCATTCAGGTCATACAAAGAACTGGACAGACAAGCATCCCTCAATTCATATGATAATGATTTCCCTGACCCGGAATGTGTTCCTAAATTACAAAAAGAATCTCAAGTTACCTTTAATTTATTAAAATATATAGCTTAAGTTAATATGGATATAAACATACAATGGATTCAAAAATCACATAGTTTTAAAGGAATGTAAAAATCTAACTGCATAATACAAAACCTTTTGATTTGGTGAAGACCTGTTCGAAACACCCACCCCCAGCCAGAATAACTCATTATTTGTAGCAATTTAAAATGAGTATTTTTGTATAAAATAATCTAGAACACCACTGGAGGGTAGACTGTATATATAACCCCCTTTGAGAAGTGATGCAGTGCTGCTGTCACTGGGTTGATTACTTGTCCTTCTGCAGAGAGGTGTAGTACTCGACCAGCACCTTCCAGGCCTTGGGGGCCATGAACCCATTGGGAGGGTTGTCTCCGCTGCGAGCCATGTTCCTCATCTTGGTGCCAGAGATGAACTCAAAGTCAGCATGTCTGAGAAAGTGAGCATTGAAGAAAGAGTAGTTAAAGAGAGAGTGGGCAGGACAAGTTAGTAGAATGATACCATAGGGACCTACATAAAACACACTGAAATACAAAAGAGTGGGCCTAAGAAATTAGATAGAATTTATAATAAATACAGTGCATCCGGAAAGTCTCTTCACTTTTTCCACATTTTGTTATGTTACGGCCATATTTCAAAATGAATTAAATTCATTTTTTTCCTCAACATTCGAGACACAATACCCCATAATGACCAAGTGGGAACATTTTTAAAATATTTTTTGTAAATTAATTAAAAATAAAACACTCAAATATCATATCACATAAACACAGGTATTCAAACCCTACTCAATATTTAGTTGAAGCCCCTTTGGCAGCAATTACAGCCTCAAGTCTCTTCTTGAGTATGATGCTACAAGCTTGGCACACCTTTCTTTGGGCAGTTTCTCCCATTCTTCTTTGCAGATCGTCTCAAGCTCCAACAGGTTGGATGGGGAGCGTCGGTGCACAGCCACTTTCAGATCTCTCCAGAGATGTTCAATCGGGGTAAAGTCTGGGCTCTGGGCTCTGGGTGGGCCACTGTGATATTCACAGACTTGTCCTGAAACTACTCCTTTGTTATATTGGCTGTGTGCTTAGGGTCATTGTCCTGTTGAAGGGCAAACCTTGGCCTGATCTGAGGTCCAGAGCGCTCTGGAGCAGATTTTCATCAAGGATATCTCTGTACATTGCTGCATTCATCTATCCCTTGATCCTGACTAGTCTCCAAGTTCCTGCCGCTGAAAAACATCCCCACATCATGATGCTGCCACCACCATGCCTTCACTGTAGGGATGGTGTTGGCCAGGTGATGAGCGTGCCTAGTTCCTCCAGACATGATGCTTGGCATTCAGACCAAAGAGATCCATTTTGGTTTCATCAAACCAGACAAATTGGTTTCTCATGGTCTGAGAGTACTCTAGGTGCTCCATGAGGGCTTCCTTCTGGCCACTCTACCATAAAGGCCTGATGGCGGTGGAGTTCTGCATAGATGGTTGCCTTCTGGAAGGTTCTCCCCATCTCCACAGAGGAACACTGGAGCTCTGTCAGAGTGATCATCAGATTCTTGGTCACCTCTCTGACTAAGGCCCTTCTCCCCCGATGTTCAGTTTGGTTTGGGCAGCCAGCTCTAGGAAGAGCCCTAGTGGTTTCAAACATCTTCCATTTGCAAATAATGGAGACTACTGTGCTCGTTGGGACCTTCAATGCTGCAGACATTTTTCTGTACCCTTCCCCAGATCTGTGCCTTGATACAATCCTGTCTCTGAGGTCTACAGACAATTCCTTGGACCTCATGACTTGGTTTGTGCTCTGATATGCACTGTCAACTGTGTAACCTCATATATACAGGTGTGTTAATTTCTAAGTTATGTCCAATCAATTTAATTTAACACAGGTGGACTCCAATCAAGTTATAGAAACATTTCAAGGATGATCAGTGGAAACGGGATGCACTTGAGCTCAATTTTCAGTTTCAAAGCAAAGGGTGTGAATACTTATGTACATGTGATATTTCATTTAATTATTTTTAACACGTTTGCAAAAAATTCTTTAAAAACGTTTTCACTTTGTCATTATGGTGTATTGTGTGTGGGACATTGAGAACAAAAATGAATTCAATCCATTTAGAAATAAGGCCGTAACATAACAACATGTGAAAAAAGTTAAGGGGTATGAATACTTTCCGGATGCACTGTACATATTACAGTGCAGAGGACAATATAAGGATTCATGGTTTTATTTCAAAAATATATAATGTTTTTGCTTTAGAGATTTGGGCCTACACATGTGTGCAAGAGGATATCTTGTAAAACTGATTCAGAATTTCACAGAAAGTCACAAAAATGCAGTTAATAAGGATTTACTGCACATTTGCTCCGGTTTGTTTTGCACTTGGGTTCAAACCGGGACAACCATGTCAGTAAATTTTGAAAAAAAAAAAAAACGTGGACCAAAAAATGAAACAACTGCAGATTTCTTCTTCACGTACCTCTCTTTGTCGTAAAAGTCCATCGCCTGCTTTGTCTTGTTGTAGGCGGCGACCCTGAAGGGGATGATCTCCACGGAGGTTAGGCCCGGCGCCATGGTGAGGACCTTGCTTCCGTGGGTGGGGTCATACAGGTCCTGCTTAGTCTCCGGGTGAGGCATGCCAGCTGGGTCCCGGCCAACGATATAGAAGTTTGCCCCGGCGACCATTCTGGCTCTACAGTGCCACTGAACCTGATTACGGAATAAATAACAATCAGGTTAATATTTAATCACACGTAAATATATGGTGGAACTGTAGAGAGTGACCGATGGTAACCTCTGGCTAAAGAATAAGCCAGCGCTCCTCACCTCTGTGGGTCCAGCGTACATCATAGGTGAGGGGAAGATGGCGACTATGGTGCTGGAGGGGTCGAGGACGCCCTCCTCCAGCACAGCAGAGTGCTGCTTCATCCTCCAGGCCAGAGGCACGTCGTCGTCTTTGGTCCAGCCTCCCAGCGGGTGCAGCAGCAGCACCGGGTTCTTGTAGCCGCGCTCCAGCAGACGGCGCTTGGTGTCCTGCATCAGCAGCGCGTGGCCGTTGTGCACCGGGTTACGCAGCTGGAATGCAAATACCGCATCTAAGGAGGACAATGTGGAGGAGGGGGACAAAACTAAGTTGAAAGAGCAGTATTTGTTGTAATAGCAGCATTGTTGTGGTACAGTGGAGCCGTCGAGCCGATGATTGGTGCAGCTTGGAATATGTGGAGCTTCTTGTGCATTTGAATACTTTTCACACAAAACATGCCCATAATACTCACAACTCATTTAGCATTTAAGGTCAACTATTATGCAAAATCCACTTTTCCTGTCTTTTATACATCAACATGTGTCCCCTCTGTGTAAAGAGATTCTGAAAGTTTCAGGAAAAAAGATTTGCTCTCTTTTTGTCCTGATCCATTTAAATAAAAACCTGTCTGAAAATGACCTGATCAGATTTTGGCCACTTTATGATGTCATAACGATTTTTTGGCTTGTGTAACCATTAGCCAATAACCAACCAAGGTAACCCCCCCCCNAGGGGGGGGACAACAAGGGGGACACAAGGGGGACGAACAGGGGGGACTCCAGGGGCGGGGGGACGACAAGGGGGGGGGGGACGGTCAATTGGGGACGTCGTTCCTCCCGGCCGCAGTCGTAGTGCCGCCGGTCCGAGTGGTGGTCGGCTAGTCTGCGAGTCGACCTGAGAGCTCTCCTTCCCCCCCACGTGCGACGCAAGGTGACTGCAGTGGGACTTCTGGAGCAGCAGTCCTTGAACCAAGGACACCAACATACTGAGACCAGAGACCCAAGGAGACCAGAGCTTACTGACACCCAAGGAGACCAGGGACAGTGCCAGACCGTCCACGGGGCGACTTGGGGACCGGGACGTCTCGTGTCCCCTTGGGCAGGACGAGCCAGGTTCGTCGGCCGGGAGCACCTCCGTCCCGGCGGCCCGCGTTCAGTAGGACCCCAGAGCACGTCGGAGGTGACTCGGGCCGCCCTCATGCGTTCCTTGGCCAAGTGCGGCAGGCCGCCCCTCCGTGGCAATCGAGTGTGCTTTTTTTGGGTGTCACGTCAGCGGGTCCAGACTGAGTGCTCGCTCCGGGCTCTTTGGTGGTCCGGTACGCCGTCCGTCTGGTTCCTCTGGGGCAATAGCAGGGGAGTGTCTCGGGGGGCAAGGACGTGCCTCTGGACTCCCCCTGTCCCCCCGTAAGTGACTGCACCGAGATGTCTCGTGTGTCCAATAAGTACCCTCCACGCAAGTACTGGGGGACGATTTCTGTGGTAGCAATTGAACTCCCCGGCAATGCTGGACGGAGTGTCTGTGTGTCCAATATTTACTCCCCGTAGTGAACTTGGAGATGTCTGTCCCCATATGTACTCCCCGTAAAGTGACTGGACGGAGATGTTTGTGTGTCATATTACCTCCCCCGTAGTGAACTGGGAGGATGTCTGTGTATCCCCCATTGTACCCCCGTAGTGAAACTGGACGAGATGTTCTTGGTGTCCCCAAGTAACTCCCCCGCAGTGACCGCGCAGTGAACGGGACGAGATGTCCTGTGTGTCCCCAATCTGGGCTACTCCCCCGAAGTGACTGGATGACTTTTCGACACCCACGCAAGTGACTGGACGGAATTGTCTGGTCCCCCATTGTAACTCCCCCCGCAAGGTGAGCTGGACCGAGATGTCTGTGTGTCCCCATAGTTACTCCCCCGAAGTACTAGACGAGATGTGCTGTCCCCATTTGTTACTCCCCCCAGTAAGTGACTGGACGAGGATGTCTGTCCCCATTGTCTCCCCCTTAAGGTGACTGGATGACCTTCGGGGGACACCCGCAAGTGCTGGACGGAGAGTGTGTCCCATAGTACTCCCCCGCAAGGTCAGATCAGCTTCCTGAACGTAGCCGAACCAGAGAAGAAGAAACTGAACACTGAGGTTATTTAGAGCTGGGGGGTTAAAGGACTGTCTTTAAAACCCCCTCAAAGCTATATATCAGCACCTATTCAGAGCAACACATAACCCCATCAGGTTGGGGGGGGGGGCAGAACCACTCTGGGATCTGTGGGCGGATCCCAAAAGACAAATACCCACAGTCCTCCTCAGGTGCTGTGGGGGTTCTGATCACAAGGCCAACAGCCATGGATACATCTAAACGACTCTGAACCGGGTCCTGGACAGACCTCTGACCCAGAAGATGATCCTGGTGTGAGTGGGGGTTAGAGAGAGAAGGAAACAGAGAGGGGGGTCTCTGTGATGCTCGTGTCCCAACGACCTTCAACTCATCTCCCAGTTCTGTACCAGGATCAACAAAGGCTGAAAACACTGCTGTCTAAGAGAAAATGCTCCCATGATCCACCTGGTGTTGATATTATGGGCTGTATTCATGTTGTGCCTCCCTGAGAACCTGGTGCCTACATTACCCACGATGCACCTCTCCCTCTGTAGTTCATACAGTTTCTCGTTTAAGAGCTGCACAGATAAAGTACTAAACAGATTAAAGCCTTAAAGGTGGGGTAGGTAAGTTTGAGAAACCGGCTGGAGATGTTTTTGGAGACTTTTTGTTATATTCCATGGAATGCTCTTAATATCCCGAAAGCAATGAATATATGAAGTGCTTTGATAATAAATCCATAAGAAATGTCATCTGTGGAAGCCGTAGTACTGTAAAAAGTACGACCAATCATCCGAGCCGGCCCGGCTAAAGTAACTGGATGGCCTACCTGCCTGTCAGCCTTCCATCTGTGCACAAACTTATCTCGTGCCCTCATTGGTCATGTGAGCGTTCGTGTGTGTTGGAGGAGGGGCTCTGTGAGGAAGGGGCCGATTTTTCCGGCTGCGTATTTTCTAATTCTAGCGCACTCGAGCTGGTTTCTCCAAAATTACCTACCTCACCTTTAATAACTATAACTCAATAAGCTCTCAGTGTCTCTGTGCCCCCCCAGTGACAGCAGCACTGTTGTGTTATAACAGTTTGTATTTACAGTACAATAATGTGATTTTATATATAAACAGGTTATTGCTAACTCTCTTCAGGTCTGAACGTGATTATTGTTTATTTTCTCTGAAGCTTCAAACCTATTTATTGGTGTAATTTATGAATGAGAACTAACTGTGTGCAATAAAGAGATGTATATGTAGAGAGAACACCAGAGATTCATGTCCTCGTTTCTAAAGTCCAAAAGTATTCATCAGGATTCATATCTGAGTCATTCATGAAGTGAAAAGGATCCAGGGTATTTCCATCTCATTTGAACATCATAAATTATAATCTGACTAAACATTATTTATAGAAGCAACAAATACCTAGCATTATGTTTGAGTTAAAGCTACCACTAGCCTAGCCTAATGTAAATCCAGTTAAAAACAGGAGGGCTATAAACCAGTCATGCTAAAGGCTAACTAGGTAGCTAACAGGGCTGCCAACACTCACGCATTGAGCGTGAGTCACGCAATTAACCCATATCTCACGCACTCACGCCAAACTTGCCTTTTCTCACGCTAAGTTTTCGTCCAAAATAAATGTATATAAAAATAAAGTGAAGGAACAGCAAACCGAGCGGTCTACGAAATGAGACGGTCTTCTGGGCCTTAGTTTCAAGTAAAGTTGGAACGATATTGGGAGATTCTGATTTCACGGATTAATAACTCATGAACAAAACGTTATTCAGAACACAAATGACGTCTTCTAAGTACCGTTGGTACGGTTGAAAACGAACTACAATCACATTTTGATATAAAAAAAAAAAGCCAATATCGCGCGCGCCTCCGAGCTGGACAACACTTAAGCCCGGACACACCAAGCCGATTGGCCGTTTTCGTGTTTCAATCAGGAGAGACGTGATGTATAAAATACATGTTTTATTATCCGGGACCCATGACATGCGGAGGAATAGTGATTGACGTATCTACAACAAAGTAACTGTAATGATGTCTTCGGCGATTAGGCCCCGGGTTTGCAGGATGATCATTAGGAGGGAAGAACGCGCTCTGATGACACCCGGGGGGTCTACGACACTGTGGTGGTGGGTGATAGGTAGTTCGGCTCCCGATCTGAAGGGGAAGGTTTCAGCTTGCGCTTGTATTAGGAGAACAGGAGGCGAAGGGGTGGAGGGAGGGTTGTGCGTTGACACCTGAACATGACAACTGACGGAGAGGAGGAGAGCAGATTTAAAGGGTTAGCAGGTGCGATGATTGGCTAGCCGGGGCGTGATGCCCCTGATCACTTATTGAAGATAACGTGTGGCACCCGATAATGTTTGTCTTCCCTGATTGAACTTGCGCTGAGTACATTATTCGGACGATGAAGGCGTGCCCTGTCGCCCAAACTCAATTTGGTGTGTCCCGCCCACGTCGGCCGTGACACGCCTTATCTGGCCTTTCATGGGCGGACGCACCGCGGCCATGCGGACGGTCGGGGCAGTCGGGGCCAAATAAATCACTTTGATTGGCTGTTCAGCTAGCGAATCAGAGCATGAGAAGCGAAAACGGAAGTGGAGGGACGTAAACGCTTTAAGAAGGCAGCAGAGAATGTCTTCCACCAGCGCAACATTCAATGGCCTGATAGCTCCAGTACCGCACGAGACATGTTTTCGGTGGACGAGAGTGAAAATGGGAACGCACAACGCTATTTGTGTTTGTTTATNCAAATATCTCTCAGAGCGGGGCGTGGGGAGGGGCTCCTTATTTTCATCTAAAGTAACAGACAGAGAATCAGCACTTTTGAAACAGGGCTGAAACAGAGGGGATTATGGGATGCTAGAATGATCTGTTTGGTATTTGGAGCCAAACACTTCAGAGACATGTTTTCTATATATCTGAGACCTATAATAAATGTATGAAAAACAGTGTAATTGCTTAAATTGCTTGTGGTTTGTGATAAAAGGGTGTTTATATTCTATATTTATCTTATTGTCAACAAATCCCACAAAAAAGACTAAAACCAACAATGAATGTATCTTTTTTAAGGTGGTTTGTATTAAGTAAGTGTAAGTAACTGTTTAAATGTAGCAAAGCCTAGCTTATTCTTTCAATGTCATTAAGTTCCAGAATAACAATTACGAGCTCGGAAAGGTTTTTCCTGTTCATTGGGTTTGTTGACATTAAGAACATATAAAACAGTGTCAGCCAAATTGTGCACATCACAACAACATGCTAGCACCAGTAACAAAACTGCCACTTGAACCAAAGAGCAGCAAAGCATTGAAACAGAAGACCCATATCCTGTTGTGCTGCAGATGAATAAGTGACAAGACTTTGAACATAGTATTCAAATCTTAGTGAGCAAGAGACAGTTCTTTTTCATTGTTCTTTACTTTTCAAAGAAACTATACGTCTCCATTGATCACTGCACACAGATCACAAAAATCATCATGCAGCTAAAAAATTACCATTTTACTTTTTGCATCTGGTCCTTTTTCAGGTTCTTCTGAAAGACAAATGGTGCACTGCTAAATACATTGCTTTCATTTGTATGTTTATTTGTGTTTTTCCCCAGCTGCGAAGGATATTTTGTTTCTGTAATGGTATTGATCTTAAGTGTCACCTTGGTAGCTACTTGCCACACATTGTAAGCCCTTTTGCTTTCTCTTGTAGTCGCTGTAGGTCTGTGATTAAGTCATTTCTAACCTGCTTTCATGTCTTTAAACTTCTGCTTCAGCTCCTGTGGAGTAAGGCGGTACTGGTCGAGCCCATCGTTCCATTTGATTCGCTCCAGCACTTCCAGGTCACCGCCTACCAGCCAATCACCTCCCTCCAAAATCATCTGCACAAGGTGATAAAAGGAGAATTAGAATAGCATAATAGAATACTATAATTATGATTTACTTTCCAAAAATCACACATTTAAATATTATCACTCTATATCCCAGGCAAACAAAGTGAGTTTGCAGATCGATAATGTGGAAGGTATATCGTTTATAACTACGTGTTGAAGACATTTGATGAAAGCCTTATCACCTTAATGTGAGGGTGCTGTGGACAGGTGGTGCCCCACTGCCTGGCGCAGCGTTCCTCCTTGCAGTGTGGGTAGAACTCGGGGTTCCTGAGAATAGCGACGCGTGAACCCTGGTACTCCAGAGCGACCGCCGCACAGCCGTCCAGCTGCTGCTTAATCTCCGAGGTAACAGGCAGCACAATGGGCACTGACAAGTTGATGGCCCCACCTTAGACAAATGACGATACGGTTAACTTAAGCGGTACACAAAAGAAAATATTGTGCCAGAACTAATATTTAAGCAATTTACTGCTATCCCGGACCAGGACTAGTAAATACACTTTAATTAGAACAAATATACCCCTATATTGAGTCAAATACACTTGGACACCACATGCTGCAAGTGAGAGGACATTAAAATTAGGTAGCAGCCACATTTTTTTTTAAACTGTGGCCGAAAATTAATTATAAAGCACTTTAAATAGTTGCAAAAAGTAAAGACAACTGTTGAAATAGACAAGTGAAAGAAAAAGTATGTTTAAAAGCATGGGGGATAGATGATAGTTAACTGAAATGTAAAAAAAAAGCCTCTATATAATGGCTCTGTGTTGTCCAGCCAGCTTTTTGTTATTTTTTCTGTTTCTGTGGTAAACGTTTTTCTCTCTAGGTACATATCAATTGTTTGTATGGGTGTGACTGAGTAGCTTGGTTTAAAAATAGGGTGCAACTTTTTTCTGTTCAAAAATTCATCGCATTAGTTTTTTTGCATAACGATAATAGCCAGGTTGAAACTGGTGTGTGTGTGTCCTGGCGATTATAAGAAGAGTAAATATGTGTCCTCTCGTCTTTCACCATCCAGCAGGTTGCCGAAGTGTAAGACCTGCAGGAACTCTCTCTCTCTCATGAAGCCCTTCAGCGGGCTGGCCCAGCCTTCTGACAAGACCTGCACCCACTGTAGATCCAGCTGTGGACAAAGAATAAACACCCAATAGATTCAGCATTATAGACGTTTAACGCCTGGATTTAACTGCCCCGATGGTGGAGTACCATCAAATCAGTAATTACACCAGGAATAAAAGCATCAAGAAAATGTGGTGGTTTTAATACTGGACGACATAGGGTATTAAAACAGCATTAAACAGCCGTATTGCTCTGCTGACATATTTATGGTCAATATATTAATTTCTCACTAAACCATAACAAGATGGTCTTAAGCGACATACACAGCTTATGGATAAATAATAATATGTTTCGTTCTTATTTCAAATACACAAATAGAAAAGTGGAAATTAACCATTTGATCCCCCCACAGAGAATATACAATTAAAAAGAAGGTTAATTTATATGTTGTCAAGGTTGAAGTGCTGCTCTGATTCAATTATCATTATTTCCACGCTGCTGCATGCCTGCTAGGCTTTTATGTTTTCATTAGTACCCAGAGAAGTTAGACCAGACTACTGCCATGTCCAGTATTGCCCTCCTTGTCCATTTGCAGTATTATTAGAAGAATCCTGTATACTGGAGCAGTGCGTTACCTTGGTGATGCTGATGGTAGGAAGCGTGTTCGCGTCAGCCACAGCAAGATTCAGTTTGTTCTCTTTAACAAAGAGTTCATTCACCTCCTCCATGATCTCGCCTGGTACAATGTTCTGTATACAAGGACACACACATATTATTAACATCAGAATGAGATACTGTGGGTAATGTAAGACTGCAACTCATTTAATTTGAATCTGATTAATGTAATGAAGTATTTCATAGTAATACAAAACGTTTCATAGTAATACAAATCGACCCATTCCCATAGTGAAGACCAAGTGAAGAGAAGTTGGAAGTAAAGAATGTTGTGCATTTGAAAAAGACAATGTGTTTGATATTTATTCAAAAAATGTGCCACAACTGGCCATTGGTGTCCCATACTGGTGCCAAACTAATTATTGGCATTGCATGTAAGGAGATCAAAAAGGGTAATACTCTTGGGAATGCAAGAATATTACCAGTTGCCTGATCATTCATATTGCATATCCAACATTGTTCTACTGCCATCTTTCAAAGGAATGCCGGTGGTTATGCAAATCACACAGAACTTGTGTATCAATGAACATTTTCTTGGGAACTCATTATGAAACACATATGCATGTATGTGTGCATGCTTGTATTCTGATCCAGGGTATAATAGTCTTCTCAGCCATAGTGAACACGAGGCCATTTTCAGAAAATATTTCCCCAACTGGTTTTGCAGCATGTTTTTATTTAAATGTAAGTCACCTCTGCCTTAGCATATACGACTTTTCTTTCAGCATAGCTTTGCTCTCGGCAGCAGAAGCAGTGTTGCATGTCGGGGCATGGCAAAAAGTCACTCACTGAGTGCAAAATTAAAATTAAAATGTTACTTATTCTCATCTGTAAAAGTTGTAATGGTGAACATCTTTTAATATACAGAAGGCACCTTTCTAGTAATCCAAAGCACATTTCAAATAAGATAATAATCTTTTAAATGTTTATTCTGATATCATATGTTTGTATTCCTTAAGTAAGCTGTGGTTAAATTCTTTCAGTTGATTAGCGGTAATTATTGTTTTCTCTGGGATTAATGCTTAATCTGCTGTTGGCAACCAAACAACTCCAATGGTTGTTAAAAGCCCTGCCTTTTCAAGTCTTTTCTAAATGTCTAAAATCATTGTTTGTGAAAGCCTGATAATATAGCCCATCCCTGATTACATTAAACCAGTTTGGGACAATGGACACTTATTTAAACAAGGATAGGCTATATAATCTGTGTACTGACGGCCCTTATGTATTTTACATTAAGGTCACTTGAACAGATGTCTCTTTGTCACATCCCTCAGCTAAAACCTGTGGGGTTTAAATATAATATTTGTCCTGTCCCAGGGAAAATGTCATACAGAAATGTAAACTGACAATGAGGATGCCACACCCACCTGCTCCCTGAGCAGCTCCAGCACCTGATGCAGGCACTCGTTCACTGTGAGCTCTCCGGTTTTCAGCACAAGATCCGGCGCCTCAGGACGCTCATAATCTGCGTCAATCCCAGTGAAACCTGACAAAAAAATGTGAAGCCATGAAAAGAAATGTCATTGAAATCCCATCAGCCTTCATATTACATTTCTATTTCAGTGTGAACAAGGGCTTGGCAATGCTTGAATCATTGTTCAAGTGGCGGTAAGAATTGGCAGGAGGTTTCCTGAGGTGAGCATTGTTGCACAGACCTTTGATCTCTCCGGCGCGAGCCTTCTTGTAAAGTCCTTTTACATCCCTGCTCTCACACAGCTCAAGAGAAGCGTTGATAAACACCTCAAAAAATGGCAGCCCTACACCTGCATGGATCTTCCTCGCCTCTTCCCGATCCTGTGGAGGAAAATAGTAGATATGTTTCATTAGAATGTGGTTTAAAGTGGAATTACGTATTCTACACGGCTGATATTATATGGACAAATCTTTCTGTTTAAAAACCTTTCAACAGATCTTTTGAACTATTTAAATATAACAGATATGCATCAGTATAGTGTTATTTGACAGCCATTTTAATTTAGTCCTATTCCTGTTTCTATTTAGTGACCTCATCCTGTTTTTTCATCAAGTTTTAGTTGACTGAAAATCTGGGCAATTCTTCTTATTTAAGTCAAAAGAAAATTGTACTATAGGAGATTGTAAAAGAGTATTTTTTAGTCAATGAAAGCTGTTGAAATATAAGTCTCCTTTAGATATCAGATTATAATGAACACATTAACTTGTGTTTTATGTCTCCAAAGCCCTAATGAGTTAATTGTCCCTATCCCTATTCCTATTGAAACGTAATCCTGATATATCATATTTCATCTTCTCTTATCGTCATTGAAAAACAGATTAAGGGAACGTTTTTATTGCTTAATCTACTACAGTTGAGTATTAATTGGTCAGACATATTGCTAGTTTATAATCAATGTGATCAAAAAAAGGTGGTTGGCAAACAATGTTAGTCACAGTTTTAATTCAACATTAGCAGCACTTGACTTTGGGCTCTTAATGTTTCCTGACCTTGCTGAAAGGAGAGATGAAGCTGGTGACGCACACCATCCCGGCGTCAGCAAACAGTTTGGCCACCTCAGCAATACGCCGGATGTTCTCCTCGCGGTCTACGGAAGAGAAGCCCAGGTTCTTGTTCAGCCCTTGGCGGATGTTGTCTCCGTCCAGTGAGTAGCACGGAATAGCGTGGGACACGAGGAATTCTTCCAGGGCAAAACTGATAGTAGTCTTTCCAGCACCCGATAAACCTAAACAGAAAATGTGACAAGACAAGCAAACATGAGCGCATTGTTTTTTAACAGTCCATATCAGATTAACCTTTATGGAACCACATTGTGAGCAAATGACCAATAGGTGGAGACGGTAGAGATTTACCGGTGAGCCAGATGGTGCAGCCTCTGAAGCCCCCCCTGGTGCCCACCACCTGCCCTCTCTTGGTGCGGCTGACATGGTGGGCCTGGTACACCACATTGGTCGACCTGTTGAGATCCTAAAACAGAAGAAAACACGCTCAGATAAAGACAAACTAAAGTGGGGGACAGCTTGAGGTAGAAAAAAGCTAAATAGAACTTTACTAGTTGTAATAATCCATCTGATTTAAACATCTGTATGCCAATCCAAAAATGTTGTCAAGTAAGTAGGTATGGGCGATATGAATGAAAGGTATTATCACAATATAACAGAAGATCTATAACAGTCGCGAAATCAGAACATGACAAAACCTGAAGCCTTAGAAACAAGGAAAACATGACACTTTTATAACATTTTAGAGAAAATGTTGTCTCATATTACGATTTAGTCTATATTGTTTATATAATTTGTATCTGTATAAGTCCCTTTTGTGAGGGCAAACAAAAAAAACAACACTAAAAAGTTGGTCACAAAAAAAAGAAAATGTTGTCTCATATTACGATTTAGCTATTTAATCAATATATTGCCCAATTTGCCCAGCCCTAGATCTAGCCATAATTATGTTTGACATGAGATTTGTCTTATGGCACAACGTGGCACTTTAGTGATAATCAGAGCCAGACTTGTTTTACATGCTCTGTCCAAAGAGACTGGGTGGATAAATGGCTGTATTGACTTCTCAAAGGGAGGGGTAGTGGAGTGAGGCATGATGGGAGGACTGACTGGACAATATGTCCAGTGTGCTGCCTGCAGCCCAGCGATGATGTGGCAGTGCTCGTGCCCACACATTCGCCCTCTGTCCGCACCCACCTTCCCCTCATACCTGCATCCATGCCATGGCTTCACTTTTCAAATCTATCTTCTTTCGCCTCTCAAAAACGACTCTCCCCCATGCTTTCCACTAAGTGTAGTTATCTTGACATGCAGGCTATTTGCCCTCAGAGGGTTTCAGTCTCCAATTTATAATCTGTGTTTAAGGGGCCCTTTATTACACATGGTCATGGACCTATAAATCAATGACCTTGACTTGATCACACAGAACGTTTTGTGTTTTAATAAGAGCGACACAGATATAATATATATTATGTTTGTCTTTCTAATGGAGGGAATCATTGCATTTGCTGGGTTTATTAATCTATCAAATCTGTACCAAAAACGTAAAGAAAAGTTTTTAAAAAATGGGAAAGAAAAGTTTTTAAATCCATAGTGCGATGGGATGTAAAAGTATAGTACTGTCATTATTTGTGATTACGTTTCTTGAGGAGCACCATTTGAAAGTAACCCACTGCTCCCACTAACAGTTAATAGGTAGTACAAAGGTACTTAAAATGCTTTTATGATGGGCCTCATTTCCCCCAAAGGACACATTGCCTACAGACAAACAGGACTGTTCTTCCACAAAAGGGAGAAACCTTCTCTCAGTCCACCTCAGATTCCCACTGCAAGCAGACTGCTCCTAATCCTCTCTTCCTTCCTACATTCATGGGAACATGATGTATATATTTTGTCTGTGCACTTACATCAAAATCAAGGCACTTCATAACTGTGTATTCATCCTTGCTTTAGAAATGCTTTTAAGCACAACTATTACTTGACTTCAAGATACTAATCATATTTTATGTAATTCCATTTTCTCTTTTTTTTTTTATAAATGTTGCTTGCTTTTAGATTGAATTGACCTACTGAAAAGGACTTCCCACTGCATTCCTTTATAGTGAACTTACAATAAACTCTAATTCGGAAGACCTTACATAACTCTTTTCCTCTCTACAGCTAACATCCTCCTTCTCAGGAAATCACAAAAGATCAATCATGATGATATTGTGGTAGTAAATGTCTCTGCTGGAAACTAGTGAACATTTTCATCACCAACTGGTCGGTCACTTCAAATATGAATTGTTTTTGCCATAAAATTACAGGAATGCCCCCATTTACACATCTAAATTGATATGTATGTTGAATTGACAACCAGTCATTACTCACTTTGAAGTAGCTGGAAGCAACAACCGAGTGAACCCATGAATTTCTCTTTGGAAATAAAAGAATAGTAAAGCAGCACATTTGCTTTGTGACCAATACATTCTAGTTTGCCTATTAAATAAGTTGCTGACTCTAAGAAAAGGACTCACCTTGTCTGCTCTAGTGCACACTATGGATGTATCAGGTGCACACGTTGAGGATTTTGCCGACAAAATACAAAGGTCTTTGTGCATGGAAATGTTTTTGCTTACAGTTAATGGCCAATGTTATTCTTATAGTTTTTAAGATGACTTCACATAATGTTCTACAAGTAAGCAGCATTCCTGTGTGGAGCATCAGACTGCCTTTTCACAGTGGCCTCTTTCTCCCCCTCACTAGCGTTATGAATGGACCAAATTGACATGGGAAAGTTGCTACAACCGGCCTATTCAGAGTCAAAGCAAGTCTGTTACCATCACACCTGGCAGTTGGTGCATTACAGTAAAGAGGCAGAAAAGCGAACAAGGCGTTGCAGAAAATGGGTTTTTAAGCAGCAATGCAGGGTTACTTGTAATTGACAAGTAATCGACAAGAAATACTGCTTTTTCGTGCAACCGAGTTTCACCAAAAAGGAAAATGTTAATGTGTATTAATACGATTTATTTGACACACAACTCCTCGGGAGGAGTGTTAAATCTCGGGGGCTGGCGGCTTACAGACACTTGGCTGAACTTTTGACAAAAATCTCTAGGTTTATCTGATGACAGCTTGCATTACAGTTGTTTCTCCCTCCACGTTATATCCACATCTACTCACCGTACGAAGCTTTTTCACGCCGGACATTTTTCGAGAGTAACACCGCCGTAGGACTGCTGCAACACCGGGGACTCGGACCGCTTCGGACAGGCCTGGATGAGGGAGCTGGAACCTCCAAAATGTGGTAATCGAGGAAGACGGAGGGGGGTTTAAAAAGGGACGTCCAGCTTCCAAGACACGTAGCATTCCGCTAGACCAGCCTCCAGGCTTTATTCTACTCCTCCTCCGAAGCCTAGAAATCTGAATACTTCTTTAGTGTGGCGGTCTCCAGTGACATGACCGGGCTGGGCCCCTAACCCGACCCGTCTGGGACAGATGTCGGGCGGGATATTTACTTATATTTTTACTGTGTAAACTAAAGTTACACATACACTGTGTCCAAGGAACGTTTTTGCTCATATTTCTTCGAGTTTATATCACTCCCAGTTCAGGTTACAAGAAACACACGGTTACGAGGCAGAACAGTAACTTCAGCAGGGATATTACAACGTCCGTTGATTTACGTTAGCTTTATTATATTGGGGCAAAATGGCAGAACGTTTACGTTACTCTCCGGGTTATGCAGTTTCACACTAACGTAATGTTATTCAGCCGAAGTCTTTCAAACAATATTACGTTCCCCATCTTGCCGGTTAAACGATTTGATGTTAAGTGAGGGATCAAAACTGACGGCCAAATCCCCCAAACCTGCAATGGAACACTGTGCTCCAGTTAAACAGGTAGATGATACAAACATGTTATGAGGCAAATGCTTTACCTGAAGACCACATACTGCAATAAGGGCAGTCATAGTTGATTTAATACATTAATAATGTGTCATGGCTACACACACAGGGTTATTTGCTTTATGATTCGCAATAGTGACACTTATTGGCTACAAATATGATATCCTACACAAAAAGTATTGGCATCAAAACATACTTCAAGTACAAAAGTAAAAGTACTAATTTTCCAGCTGTTCAGATGTTACATTTTTGTATTATAGTTATAATCAATGCATTAATGTCAATGTTCACTTGGTAAAGGTAGGGATTATTTAAATTACTTGCTATACTGCTGGGTAGTTTAACATATACATAATTATTTATTTGTTGATTTATATTCTGTATTCTAAATACATACCTGCAAAGTAGCTAAATCAATTTATTAAAAAAAATGCAGTGGAGTAAAAGCCAAAAAATATGCCTCAAATGTAGTAAGTTAAAGGTGGGGTAGGTAAGTTTGAGAAACCGGCTCGAGATACACTTTTTGTTATATTCCATGGAATGCTCTTAACATCCTGAATATCTTAAGTGCTTTGACAACAAATCCATACAAAAATGTAATCTGTTGAAGCCGTAGTAGCCGGCCCGGCTAAAATAACTGGATGGCCTACTACCTGCCTGTCAGCCTTCCATCTGTGCACACATTTATCTCGTGCCCTCATTGGTCATGTGCACGTTCGCGTGTGTTGGAGGAGGGAGAAGGAAGTGGCAGATTTTTTCCGGCTGTGTATTTTCAAATTCTAGCACACTCGAGCTGCTTTCTACAAAATTACCTACCCCACCTTTAACCTGTTAAACCCCGAGCCTGTTTTTCAGATTTCAGGCTCGAAAATGACATTCCCAGAACAAATGACCATATCTTCCCTTCTAAAAAGGGTTAAATTAATAATATTTTTTCTCAAAGTAATGATAAACCTGTGAGTTGGATGTAGAAAAGTCAGAATCAATATAGATGTTTTTTATTTTAAAGAAAATTCCGATTGAACATGGTAAAAAACTGTAAATTATAGTGTCCGTCCCAAAAATATTTTGTACTTATAGTGAAAAGGAAAACTAACCTTGGATGATGGGTTAGTTGACTAAAAGCTTTAGGAATCCAAAGTACAACATATAATAAGTACCCTGTATCAAGATTGATGCAAAACAAGTGATATTTGACCTTTTTAAGAGAGGTTTAGCAACAAAAACCTCTTCTGGGGCCATTTGGGTGGATTTTCCATATCTCTGGCCATGCTGGATTTTGACAAGTGACATCTCTTTCTAACCGTCAGAGTCAATGGAATCGAGGGGAACTCCCACATAGTCCTTATTCGGTAATGTGTGTGTGTTAGACTGCCGCATAGCAAAGACCGGAAGCTGCGATAACTCTGCTGGCTACCATTAGCAGCTAACTTTTCCTCTCCGATTTTTACATAAAAATTGAATTATGGATTATAAATGAAAAAGATTATTACACAGACACATTATCAACCTATGGATTAACGGATTCAGCCGCGTTTTTTCTCATTTTAATGCCATTGAACACGTCTTTTGATCAGATTGACAGCTACGGTGAGACAATCTCCCTAAAAGCTCCGTAAAGGTACGTGTTATGATGTCTGTGTTTGCTTCCCCTGTCGCGAGTTCGGATCACTCAGTGATGATACTATATACACACCTAAATAATCTGTGGAACCTCAGCTTTAATCGGATATCTTAGTATGTAGCAGCTAC